AAAATTGATTCAGCGAAAAATTTGAGTATTAATTGTACTGATGACCATAGACGTCTACACAATATTTTTATCTGCAGATTGTGAAGGTTTGATGCAAAAAGAGTGATTATCTGTCTACATGAACCTCATCAGGTTTCTATGTGCATATAACGACTACAGTTTATCACAATTAATCAATATTTCAAATAGTTTCAGAAAGGAACTCAGTCTATCGTTAGATAGACGCTAATTGTTCGAATAATGAATAAAACAAAAGTTCTATCATGTACATTTATATAAAGTCATCAGAGAATTTTAAAATGTGAAACTGATCTCATTAATTATGAACTATATCGAGAAACTATCGCACCACAAATATAGAAAGATGATCACGTTTGACAACCAAACCATGCAGGAATAATTCGATGCATCATCTGGTTTACTAATATATATATTAAAAGGAAGCTAAAAACCAATCGAGCCCTAAGTTCATTGAACGTAGGTTTTTTTGATGCACTCTAGTACGTAGTCTACTGAGAGAAAAATGTTGTGTTTCATGGCTCAGTAGATAGGGCTTTTTTCGTTATTTAGACAAAAACAATCGAAACAGTTCTGGTGCATGCCTAGCCTTCTCTTCCTTTCCATGTACATGCCCACGCCTCTTACCTTCGTTTTTATGTGAAATGCTTAAATTTTCGGTTTTGAATATCATCATGATAAAATTTTCTGGTCCTTATCATTTCGGTACTTAAGGGGGAACCCCCCCTCAGAAACCTATCTTCTAAACGGTTCAAGAGATTTCGATGAAAATTTCAGGAAATAGAAAAGCTAATGTAACTAGCATCTGATAAAAATTTGAACCAATCATTTTTGATAATTGAGGAGTTATACTCAATTTACTCATGAAAATGGGGCTTTTGGCACGGAACATTTTCCCGAGGCGCGATAGCATGGAAAATGTTGAAATTTGTTTCAAAATGAAGAAAAATCTTATATCTAGAAATTGTGGGGACAGTTTTTTGAAATTCATCTTTGTTCAATAGTAGTGATCATTTTAAATCGACAATCGAAAAAACTGCTTTGATCTCTTCCAAAGATTTTCTAATATCTGAACAACGGAGATATATTTTAGAAATCTGTTCCAACAATTTCTAGAAAAAAGTCTCATCTTTTGAATAAAAAAAATATCAGCAGCGTACGTCAAACAGTGGACTGGGAAAATGTTCCACAGTGATCAGTAAACGATAAAAAAGTGAAGCTGAGAAAAACGAATAACAACATTGCGAAGTAGTTGATGATGTTCCTGTGTAGAAAATTGGAGCATATTATATATCATTGGAAAGTGTGTAAAAAGGTCTTGCAGTTGATGATGCTTTCAAGAAAAAATTAAGCTAATTTCTAAATCCAAGTTTACTGTAGCGCCACCTTTTCGAAAAATAACCTAATTTTGAAGCTTCCTTCTCTGACTGCAACAGGTAGAACATGATTACTTGATACGTCGATGGTTTTATACTTCTGATAAAGAACATGGAACGATATTAATTACCGGTAACTAAGGAAAAAAAATCAACACAACAGTCGATTTTCCACTATGACTTCCAATAGACGCCCCAGAATTCGGCAAAATATGTTCCATTCTTATATAATTTATACATATTCTGAAAGAGGACACTCAGGGCTACTAGAATATGTGTTTTTTCAAAAATCGAGTTTTTCAAGAAAAATCGATTTTCTGAGGGGGGGTTCCCCCTTAACTATCCGTGTCTATCGTACACCAATTCAAAGTTGCTTACGAATACAATCGTTTAAACTAGATACTTGAAAATTATTTAAAAAAAGTTGCTTTTCAAAGCACTTGTCTGATGAGAAGAGTCGAGGATAGTAGTGATAAGATAAGTTTGTAGTTGCGCTACAAATATCTACTTGTCACTCTTTCAAACCATAGGTAAAAGGTCGATTATCAACGGCATCTATTGAAGTGAGTATCTTTGGCTCATATAAAGCATATGTAGCAATATTTTTTTGTGTATTCTGATTCGATCTTTTTAGATATGTCTGCATCACCTTTCTTTTTGAAAATCAACAACTCAATCGATGAGATCTTTTTATTCTTAAACATTGAATATCAATGAGTGAAAACGAATACGATAGTGATGTGATCGGTAAGTTTGAAAATCTTTCCTATCCTACATAAATATGTATTTCAAATAGATGATGATTGCTATGATACATATTACGATGATAAAGATCCATTTCAAGATGATAACAATAATAATTATACAACAAATATTACTAGTAATGATCCTGAACACTTTGAATATATTGTAAACACAATAAAAGAAGTTCAAACGCGTTTTGAACCATTAATATTTTCAAATTCATATATTCACACATCATCTTCTCCAGCTATATGTTCAATATGTTATAAAAGTCAAACAAACTTTCAATCATTAATATGTAATCATGCTTTTTGTCATGATTGTTGGTCACAATATATTGATACTAAATTTCTAGCAAATAATTGTTTAAGTAAATTTTCTATTTTTTTTCTTTCTAAATAATATTTATTCTTTCATTGATAATATAGATATGGAATGTATGGAATGCGATCTACGAATACCACAAAAGTAATTTAATATAAAACAAATCATAATTTTACTTTTTATTGATAAATGTTTTTTTGTTAAGTTTTGTTCTTGAACATTTATCGTCAGATAAAAATAAAGAATCTTATAAAAAATTAGTTGTTAAATCAATGATTGAAGTAAAAAAAACCTATTATAAAAACTAATCTTTAATTTCGAAGAAAGCATTTTAGAATAATCCACAAATGACACTTTGTCCGGGTATATGTGAACGAGTATTTCAAGCAATTGATAAATCTATATCGAGCAAAGTTGAATGTGAATTATGTAATTTAAAATTTTGGTAAGACATTTTTTTTATTTGAAAAATTCATATTTCGAAAAAAAGGAATTTTCATTTAGTTTTCAATGTCTATTGAGTTATCATGCACCTGCTAGTTGTGATATTATGAGAAATTGGTTAAATAAGTGTCGAGATGTTCGTATTATAAATTTGAAAATTCAATACAATTTTCTTTTTTCATTCGATATTTAGGATTCAGAAACAGCAAACTATATATCAGCAAATACAAAAGATTGTCCAAAATGTAAAGTATGTATTGAAAAAAATGGAGGTAAGAAATCTTGAATGAATCTATCGAACGAATTATATTTGGATATTTAGGTTGTAATCATATGGTAAGAAGAAGAAGAAAAAAAAAAGAATTATTTATTCGATTGAGATACATTTGACATTTTAGTGTTGTTTTTCATGTAGTCATCATTTTTGTTGGATGTGTCTTGGAGGTAATAAATAAATGTAGTTACAGAAAAGAAAAAGAAAAGACTTGATTTATTTTATTAGATTGGAAAACTCATGAAAATAATTATTATGAATGTTCTAAATATCGTAGACAACCACAATCACAATTAGAAACAAAACAAAATTGTGCACGTGAAGCATTAAAAAAATATTTACATTATTTTGAAAGGGTAATAATCATATGATTGTTTCTTTGTTATATTTTTTTGTTTTGTTTATTATCGTTATTCATTTTGTAGTGGGATAATCACCAAAGAAGTTTAAAACTTGAAGAACAGACAAGAGCTAAACTACTAGAAAAAATTGAACAAAATATTAATGCACAAAATGGAACTTATATCGATTGGCAATATTTAGAAAAATCAGCTGATTCATTAGCAAAGGTAAATTTTGTTCAAGTATAGTTGCTCGAGAGTTATTTTCTTATAGGAACGAATGTTTTTCTGTTCTAAACAATGTTTTTAATTTTAAGAAGATTTTTTCGATTGTTGATTTCGCCCGAGAAAAAGTTATATTCGTAATTAATACTAACAAAAAAATTAGTTTTATTATGAATTCAATATCTTATGAAAATTAGATCATTGTTATTCTTATGCTCATATATCATAAATATTGTATGTTGGTAAAATATGTATTTATAATTAATTTGTTTCGGTAAAAGAATATGACACCGCATGAGAATATATAATTGTATCTTTAATGACTAACTGGATTTTGATTATTACTTATTCAATAGAAAATCTCAACTGAAGACAATCAATTATAAAAAATACTAAACAGCTGTAGACTAGTCTGAATAATTTTTTCAAGATAGCTGTTGTTTTTTTCAACTTAGAACATTGATTATTTTTTATTTTACAGATTGAGTTGGTCCTTTTATTAAATAAATTTACACATTTCAATAAGGAGACAAAGAAATTCGTATAGATCAATTGATGACAATGAATATTCTGTATGTGTAAATGTACGAGTTATGCTGATGATTCGATCAAATTTCATAAGGTTTGTTAGCTAATGAAATGAACAACTCTGTGGACAAATTTTACTAATGCTCTAAAAACATTTTCTTCAGATAGAAGTTTCCTAAATAATACGAGATATATAAAATGGCCCAGGATATTCATTATGATTCTTTTTTTTAAGGCTCGATATACTCTGATGTATACTTATCCTTATGCTTACTATCAAGAAGATACTGTTGATCGAAATCTTGTAAGTTTATAATAATGAATTACAAATAAATCTAACTGGTTTAATTATTTATTCGGTATTTTAGTTTGAAAATATTCAAGCTCAACTTGAAGTTGAAATTGAAAATTTATCTTATCAAATTGAACGTTCAACAACACATAATCGAGGAGTAAATTATATTTATATTGTTTTTAAATGATTTCTATTTTTCAACATGATTCAGGATATTGAAAATCAACGACATATTGTTGAACGACGTCGACAAACATTACTTCTCAAATATTTTCCTAAATCAAACTCTTAGTCATCCTGTGTTTTTTTTAATTTAATTTAATTTTTTTAAGGCTTTTCTTTGTTTGATATTAACATCTGAAATAGCATTACTGAAAAACATGTTTTATTGAATTGTTTTAGATGAACAGTGTTTGTAAAAATTAATAGTAATGGATCGAGAACCTTGGTAAGAAAATAGTTTGATATATGATACGTTTATTTTTTTTTCCTGATTATTTGATTTAGTCCGTGGCGTATTGTTGATGATTGTGGTGGCGCATTTGCATTAGGAGCAATAGGTGGAACATTTTTTCATTCAATCAAAGGATTTCGTCATGCTCCGAGTGTAAAATTTTGTTTTATTTTTTTTTTGTGAATTATGTAATATTTTCTATATTTTTTTTGTTGTAGGGTTCATATAGACGATTAATTGGTAGTTTAAATGGAGTAAAACAACGAGCTCCTCGTGTTGCAGGTAATTTTTTTGAAATACGAATAAAATTAATCAATTGTTTATTTAGCATCATTTGCTGCATGGGGTTGTATGTTTTCATTAATTGATTGTAGTTTTGTGTATCTAAGAAAAAAAGAAGATCCATGGAATTCAATTTTAAGTGGTGCAATGACGGGTGCTATTTTACAAGCGAGATGTAAATTAAAACAAAATAAAAATAAACCTTTAGTTTTATGATATGTCTATTTTAGACGGACCTGGAGCAATGATTAGTTCAGCTATTTTTGGTGGATTTATTCTTGCTATGATTGAAGGAACTGGTATTTTGATTACCCGTTATAGTCATATGTTTATGCCACAAGCAGCACCCGAAGGTAAATATATCTATTCAATATCATACTCAGTTTGCAATGAATTGCTTTTTTTCCCGTAAATTTAGAACCACTACCTGACATTGATAAAGGCAAAATCGATCTTTCTGTTCCACCGTTTTTCAGCTCGTCTCCTGGGCAAGCTTCTTCTGCATCTGGTCATTTTTCATGAAATATTTCCTGTGGTTCTTGGTTTTTTTTTGTTTTTTTTTCTTCTTTCCTATCCTGCTTTAAAAAGAATGTTGTTTACTTTCCCTTGTGTTAATTTGAAAAAGTGAAATAACTGATCTCATCTATGTACAATATACGATGCTGTTTCAGTTATTTTTTTTCTTGTTTGATTTATCTTTGAGAATTTTTGATCAAAACATTTTATTCACATGTGATGATTATATTTTGTCGTTTTTTTCTACATATATTGTGGGTATTTTCTATATAAACATAAGAGAGAAAAATGTGATAACAAATAAATATTGAAACTAATCCATTTTGTTAGTATTTACTAATCAAAATAAATCAATTTGCTAAAATATGTATAATAATCAGTTTTTACCTTTGTTTTTGTCTTGTAATAGACAGAAAACTTTTATGTTAGATAACAAGAAAATTGAGCTGCATGATATGTGAAAGTACATGTTTGTACTTTAGTTAGAAAAACAACTGATAAGAATATTTATTATATAGGTCTGGTTTTTTTTGTCGGCAAAGGTGATATACATACCTTTTATTTTTTATAAAAAAATGAGATAAAAAAGAAATAACAATAGTTGTTTGATGCTAGAATATCATTTTAGATAACTGATCATAAAAAACAATGAAAAGATCATGGATTCATCTATGGTTGTTTTACATCACTATGCAACAGTTTTTCCATCATAACCAAGCAAAAACAATTAAAAATAATCCATCAGATTCTTTGAAAATGGATGAAGCCTATTTAACGATTAATAATGAAAATTATTCAGATCCAATTTTGTTTATGTATAATATGGTAGTATGTGAACATTGTGATTTTGATCAGTTAGGTGATGTTGTTTCAATGAATTCAAGTCAAACTTTAACGATTGATACAAGATATCCATATGATTTTCAACTTCGTCCAGAAACAAAGAATACAACATTATTATGTCAAATAGAATCATACAGATTTTCTGAACATGGTTCATATTTATTTGAAGTTATACAAACAAACAAAAATAACATTTCTTGTACAATAACACAAACAAACAAATCAAGCTATTATTGGCTACCTATTATAATTGCAGTTATTATTCTTTCTATTATTGTTTTCTTTATTCAACTATTTCATCTAATTTATAATTCTCGTTATATTGGTCGTATTTTAACAAATATTGGTCATCGACGATTAATTAATGATGAAACTGATATTACACCAAGAATAAGTCCAATAACAAATAGACGAGTACCATTAATTATACCTAATGAAACTCGTAATGATGATGTTCTTGATACAGAAAATATTACTGGTCAATTATCAACAATTGGAACAACTCAAACATCAACTTATTCCAATAAAGCTAAAAAAATTCCACCAAAACGTCTTCAATCATTGGATACTTTTCGAGGATTTTCATTGATGGTGATGATTTTTGTTAATTATGGTGGTAAGAATATTTCATTAATTCATTGGTTTTTTTTCTTCATACTTTTAAAAATTTTTATCTATTATAAAGGTGGTGGTTATTGGTTTTTCAATCATTCTGGTAAGATCGTTTTTTTTAAATATATTTCTAAGATTATTTGTTTCCTTCTTTTGGTCATAGTTTGGAATGGTTTAACTGTTGCTGATTTAGTTTTTCCATGGTTTGTTTGGATGATGGGTGTATCCATTGTTCTATCTCAACGATCACTGCTAAAGAAAAAAATACGAAAACGAAGTATTTTAGTGAAAATATGTCGACGAACTGTAATACTATTTTTATTGGGTACGGAATAAGAAGATGAAAAAGATCATGCGTTTTTTTTTATTGAGAATTTTAATTGAAAATTGTAGGTTTAATTTTACAAGGTGGACATGGAAAACCAGAAGATGTTCGAATTCTAGGTGTTCTTCAACGTTTAGCATTATGTTATTTTTTTACTGCAATACTTGTACTTATTTTTGATGCTGTTGAAGATCAATTACATTCATCACAATGGCCAATGAGTAAAAAATACAAATTTTACTTTTGAACTCTATATATAGTTTGTTTATTTAGGTGATAATGTATATCAACCAATACGAACTGAATTATCCAATACAGTTTTTCAATTTTGGCCACAATGGCTTTGTATTCTTTTTATTACTCTTTCATGGATTTTAATAACTTTTGTTCCAAAATTAAGTAATTGTCCAAGAGGTTATGTAGGTCCTGGTGGAAAACATGAACATGGAAGATATACAAATTGTACTGGAGGTATAGTTCATATAAATCATTAAAAGAAAAAAAAACTAGATAATTAAATAATTAAAGGCATTGCTGGATATCTTGATCGAGTTATATTAGGACCTTCTCATATATATAATTATCCAACGTGTAAAGAAATTTTTAAAACTCAAATACCATATGATCCTGAAGGTAAAATTAAATAAAAAAAAAGAATTACCTATTACATTTATTCTTTGATTCATAGGTCTTTTGGGTATTCTCACTGGAACACTTCTTTGTTATCTTGGCGTTCAAGCTGGTCATAGTTTTGTTTTTTCAACACGTGTTCGTCGTGTTTGTGCACAATGGATGGTATCGAGTCTTATTTGTGGATTTTTAGGTTTACTTTTATCCAAAGGTGGTCATTCAGACAGTTGGATACCAATTAATAAAAATCTTTGGTCATTAAGTTTTATATTTATTTTAGCTAGTCTTGCTTTTATAATCTTAACAGTACTTTATCTACTTGTCGATGTTCATAAATTGTTTACAGGTGAACCATGGCTTTGGTTAGGTATGAATTCCATTGTTCTTTACGTTGGTCATGAGATTTGTTCACAAAGTTTTCCAGTACAATTTGAAGTTCAAGAAACACATGCGAAATTACTTGCTTTGCATGTTTATGGTGCCCTATTTTGGGCTTTGATTGCTGGTATATTGTATTATAACAAAATTTTTATTGCTATTTAATCATCTTTGTGATAATTTTCTTTTTTTTATTGTTTTCTCGAATATTATTTTTGAAAGATTTTCTTTTTATTATTCATGTGACGTACGTGAAATATAAATTCAATAAAATTCATAAATATTAATTTATTATAAAAAAACAATGAAAATTATTTTCAACAGTAGAGAAGTTCATATCACCATAAAGTTCCGTAGTTCAACAGACTTCTATCGAATTGCTTGAGAGAAAGAATTAACTATCTTTCGGTATAGGATGCTGGCTAATTGTAGATTCATTAGCACCATACCTTCCGTATAATTAATATTAGTTATATCTTTGCATGCAAGATCAGCCTGGGGCGGAGTTCTTGCACTCAATCATTTCAGCTCTCCGTATATACTGACTAATTACATAGTAGAAACGAGAGGATCAATTCGTGCCTGTCGGTACTGACGTTTGAACATAGTACCTTATTTGATAAACTACTCGACCATGACGGCTGCATCAAAAGAGACTTTTAATATAGAATAATGTCTGTGAAACTTCTCAATAGTTTCATTTTTATTGATTTCCTGACGAATTACAAAGCTTTATGTATGATTTCAAAATATACTCGGTAACCTATTTGATATTAGATCTAATCAATGTTTATTTGTGATTACTATAATTTCTAAAAACTTGCTCCCTCTGTTGAAAAATTCTATTGATTGAAACAAGGCACCTATGTTTTTGTTTCCTGTCAATTTAAATATTTTCATTGTCTTGCACATTAACTTTGAAATAACATATTGTTCATTTTAGATTGTTGTATTTAATCAAAGTAAACCAAAAGAAAATGGTTGGTAAAGTAGAACTCATACCAATTGCAGAAGGCAATCGTATTACAGTAAAAGAGAATGAAAAAGTTATTGTTGGACGTGGTTCATCATTAGGCGTATGTTCATTTAATTATGTTTGAGATCATAATCTATTTATATATGTTTTTAGTGTAATGAAAAAAAAATTTCTCGTCATCATGCAGAATTATTACTTAAAGATGATAATACTCTTTGGATTAAACCAACTCATGCAAATCCTGTTTTCTATCGTCCATTAAATGGTAAAACAATTCAATTAACAAAAGATGTTGAACGAGAATTAAACGATGGTGATCAAATTGGTTTACTTCCATCAAGTTTTTTCTTTCGTGTAAGTTTTTCTACTGATGAAAACAATAATAATGACAAAAATGATGATTCCGATTCGGATTCATTATATGCATGGAAAAAAGATGATAATTTATCTCCTGTACGTGCAACTTCACCTGATCAATGGTCACCTACACATGGTTATCGTCGTTCAATTAGTAATCAAGATACATCTGTTTTTGATTTTGATGAAGATGCTAATGATGAACCGGCACGAACACCAAGTAAACGTACATCATTTGAAAAGAAAATTTCGTTAGATGTTGAACCAAAACCACGTATTTCAATGTCGGTACCTACAGTTAATCTAACTCGAATTTCTGTTCCTCCACCATCTGTAGACAATGAAGTATGTTTTTGTTTCTCTTTTTTTTGTTTCTCTTTGTTAATTATTCAATTTGTAGGATGAAATTGAACCAATTAATACGAATCATACATCACGAAAATTACCTAAATGGATGGCAGCACCAACTCCATCACCAATAACTAAGCAGACAACTGCTACACCTAAGTCTTCTTATTCACGAAATTCATCAAATACTACTCCAACTAGTGCTAAACGACATTGTATGTTTTTCTTTTATTAAATACTATTTCAAAAAGCTAAATATTGTTTTTTTTTGTTCTTAGTAAGTTTTGAAGGTGATAGTAATAGTGATGTTAATGAATCATCAAATATGTCAGGTAAATTTTTATTACAAATTAGTTATCATTATATTATTATTTCTATTTAGATGTTCGATCACCAGCAACACCTATTGAAACAAAGTCTCCAGGAAAAGTATTAAGTAAAGTACCTTCAACAAGAAGTTTTGATAGTGATAGTGCAGATGGTTTTGATTTCGTGGCATCAAAAACAACAACAACGACGACAACACCATCACCATCAGTACCAAAAAGAAGTAACTAGAGATATCTTTTTTTGTGTTTTCTCATAAATTGTTAAATGAATATTTAAATTTAGTTAAACCAGGTAGTAAACGTCGTCCAGTTTGTCAATTTGGTGCATCGTGTTATAGAAAAAATCCTATTCATCGTGCTGAACAATCACATCCAGGTGATAGTGATTACGAAGATTCAAAACAATCATATGATAATGATAATAATGATGATAATGATGCTGATAAACCTTTATGTCCATTTGGTAAATCATGTTATCGACAAAATCCTCAACATAAACGTGATTTCAAACATTAGATGCAATATGCTTTTTTTGTGTGCAAATCAGGTTTCCGGTGATATACTGACATTCTATTGTATAAAAGTAGTTGTTCATATTATTAATTATCTAAGAGTATTGGTCAGATAGAATTTTGAATTATAGAACATAGTTTAAATCATAGAATATTAATAAAAACGTTTTCTATTTGTAGATGTCTGATAATGAGAGTGCACTCGTTAATCTATTAAAAAAACGTATAAATGTTCTAACATATAAAACATTAAATGAAAATGAATATAATCAAACATATTTTAAACATTCTGGCTTAACAAATGTTGATATTCGTTCTTATCAATTATATGGAATTCGATGGCTTATTGAGCGATATGAAGTAGGACATGGAGCAAGTGAGAGATCTAATTCTTCTTCTTGAGTATTAGTCTAATAAAATATTTCTATAGTTCTAAGTGATGAAATGGGTCTTGGAAAAACATTACAAGTAAGATCTCATGATTTTAATCAAATGACTAGACATTATATATTTAGACAATTGTATTTCTATTATATGTATGTAAAGTAAAGAAACAAACTCCTTGTCTTGTAATTAGTCCATTATCTGTTTTACAAAATTGGACAAAAGAATTATCACGGTAATAAAATTGTTAAAATAGAATCTAAAAAAAAAGAGTAAAAATAAAACTTTATAAGATTTACTCCTGGATTAAATGTGCAAATATTCACTGGTGCCAAAGATGAACGAAATGAACTAGCTCAAACAATTAAAAAATCTACATTCGATATTTTATTAACAACATATGAATATATATTAAAAGATACAGTATTTTTTCAATCGTTTACTTGGAATGTTTTAATTATTGATGAAGCACATCGAATTAAAAATTCTCAATCACTTTTACATGGAACTCTCAAAACGGTTTGTTTATTTCATTTTCTCTTTAAACAGCAAAAGTTGTAATTTAAATGGTCAATATTTAATTACAAAATGGTCAGTGAAGAATAAAAAATCTAATAACCTGAGTTGCTTTTTAACCGTATAAAATAGAACGTGAGTATGAATTTTCATTTTATTCACATCCTTGAAATCATCATACTCAGTTTCAGTTTCGTAAACAGTAACTTTTCTCATTGTTGACATGATACAGCAGGATGAAAACTTGTTCAACATGAATGTCAACAATGTTGGACTTTTTTGTATTTGAAATAAATTATTATCTCATTGCCTGTATAGTTTGTATAATATTTTGAGCATTCATTTTCAATTCATGTTTCTGCTGCGTTAATCCAATATATTGATTTCTTGTTTTGGCAAATATCTTCAGTTTCCATTTATTTCACGATTTTCTTCCACAATCTCCTCATCTAATACATTAGTTATATACTATGTAACTTGTACCACATTCATCTCTTATACTCGTAAACTTTGAGCTGAAGTCAGCGAAGAGGGGATAGACACTAAACGTAACTGTATGTATTCCGTACATAATATATATACTACATGGTACAAAGAACTAAAGTAAAGAAAAAAAAAGTGAATCACATTATAAGGTATTTCAATTCGTGTATACTTACCTGTACGTTAAATCTATTTAAAAAATCTGATTCATCACTAATTGACTATTTAAGTAATTTATTGATCATTCATTTAATATAAGGATTTTTACAACTGTTTGAACTTATTGATCCAATATTTTGTTTTCAAAAATAAATGAGTATAAATTTTTTAGTTGAATGTATCATGTCGAATTCTTCTTACTGGTACACCAATTCAGAATAATCTATCTGAACTTTATGCACTATTATCATTCTGTGCACCGAATATATTTCATCCAAGACATCATGAAGATTTTGTAGCATATTTTCGAAATATTAATACTGATGAAAGTAATTGAAACGGTTAATTTTTTTGTTAAGAATTTTATGTTTATTTTTATATAGTTCGTAAGAAAATATTAATTGATCTATTAAAACCATTTGTTTTACGACGATTAAAACGTGATGTTCTTACTGATTTACCAAATAAAACTGAATTAATGATTTTTCATGATTTATCAAAAGTTCAAAAAGAACTTTATAAAGCTATATTAACAAAAAATCGATGTATGAGTTTTTGATTAAAAAAAACTAAATGCTAAAATTATCATTATGTTTTTTTTTCTTAGCAATATTTGGTTCAAGTGAAGCAGCAAGTAAGACAAGTTTAGTGAATATAATGATGCAATTAAGAAAAGCTATTGGACATCCATATCTATTTCCTGGTATTGAACCTGAACCATTTGAAATGGGTGAACATTTAAGTAAGTATTTATTGATAATTAATTTTCAATAAATAATTTTTTATAATATTTTTAGTTGAAGCAAGTGGTAAACTTCATATTTTGGATCATCTTCTTGCACATTTATATGCTAAAAAACATAAAGTACTTTTATTTTCACAATTTACAACTGTTCTCGATGTATTACAAGATTATTTAACTTATCGTGAAATTTATAAATACGAACGTATGAATTTTTTCAATTCTTAAAAAAATATGTAAAATTTCAAGTATTAATTGCATAGGTTTGGATGGATCAGTACGAAGTGAAGAAAGATTTTTAGCTATTAATAATTTCAATATCGATGATGATACATTCATATTTTTATTGAGTACAAAAGCAGGTTAGTAAAATTCACATATATTTTTGAAGAATGTAGTTAGTGTCAAATTAAATCGAAGTTTTTATGGCTTCTCTTCTCCGTACCCTAGAAACGGGAAAAGATGCTGGATAGCATAGTTGTGAATGTTCTAAATAGTTTTCTTTTAATTAGATTTTCTATTTTGCTTATATTTTAAGGTGGTGTTGGTTTAAATCTTGTTGCAGCTGATACAGTTATTTTTTATGATTCGGATTTCAATCCACAAAATGATTTACAAGCAGCTGATCGATGTCATCGTATTGGACAAAAAAGGTACAAGATATTATTGAAAAAAAACTCATAAAAATATCTTTTATTTCATTTTAGACCAGTACGAATTATTCGTCTTGTTTGTCAAAATTCGTTTGAAGGTTTGATAAATTCTTTTTTATGATTGTTATATAATGAAATATTCTTCGTATTATAGAAGTAATTCTTCATCGAGCAGAAGCAAAATTAAAATTATCAAAAACAATTATGGAAAATAATGAATTAGCAGCTGGTTTAAATACAGTCATAGAAACAAAAACACAAGTATGTACTATGATTTTCATAAATTGAAATTGTAAAGTTATTATTGTTTATAGCTTCAAGATGTACTTAGAATTGGTATTGATAAATTATTAGATGAAACAGAACAGATGGATTATACAAAGATTGATTTTACTGCTATTTTGGGTAAAACAGATAAAAGTGGTCATTGGCTTGCTGTAGAAGAAAATAAAGAAAATGAAAATAAAGATAAAGAATTTCAATCGGCAGACATTGATGATGATAATATGTACGTATTTGAAGGTATTGATTATCGTGATGCTGCTAAAAAAGCTGACATTGATGTATTTGATCGTCTTATTATAAATAATGATGAAAACGAAAATAACACAGTAGCTAGTTCATCTAAGCAACGTACTACGGAACGAACACCACGACGTCCAATGACTGAAGAAGAAAAAGCAGCACGTGCAGCTAAAATTCGTGAAACAAAAGCTCGACGACAACAAGAAATGGTAAAACATAATGTTAAAATTTCGATGGTTTTTCTTTTTTACTAAATACCTTTCTTCTATTAGGAAGAAGCAGAACGAAAACGTGAAGAACGACGTAAAGCAAGACTACAACAATTATGGGCATCAAAAAACTATCGTTCATGTCGTGTGTCATTATCAGATGATGAAGATGAAGAAACTGATGAAACAGTACTAACAGATACTGAAGGTATATAATTTAAAATTGTTTTTTTCAATAAATTTCAAGAATTTTATTGTCGTTTAGATGATAGTAATGGTGAAACGAAGTTACACTATGTTTTTGGTGATGTAATGAAACCGCAATTACATGGAGAGAAATGTGCTATATCAGTGCATTGTGTTGGTAAGTAAATTTGATTTGATATCGTAGCTCTCCTTTGGTTGTGCTTAGGAGAGGACGACTTAAGAGAGAGCCTCCTAAATCTCTACTCTCATTGTTAATCGTAAACATATTCCTTTGTCGCTATTCCATGTGTTATTCAATTCGTCAAGAAATTTCTAACCAAGGAAAAATAAGTATCTTTTTACTACATACACAAACTGCCTATACCAATAGAATGTGAGCATTCTTCTTCTTCTTCATCCACACGCTAATAAACTATTTGATTGAAACATGTGTAGTAAAAGCATACTTGAAATTGCTTTTCAAGTATTGAGTTGGATTTCGCACATAATATTTTGCAGTATCTATTGAATGGACTTTCGATATGTTGACGATGAAACTATTATTTTGACTTTTGTCGTGTCCTATTTCTTTTTCTAATATATTACTCTTCAAATACATCGGCAATCTATTTCAGAGAGAAATGCAAAATGCGAGAAAAATTTACGATTTTTTTTTCCATAAATTATTCTAGATGATTCTGGTCGATGGCCATCCAAAGGTGTATTTGCTTCAATTTCTCAACGTTCGAAAGAACCACAAAAACAGTATGTGTTTCTAGACTTTGTCTTACATTGATAATTCATGTGAGTTTATTTTTTTTAAAGATATACACTTGCTTCAGAAGTGGACGATATTCATATGGGTGACACTCATCTAATTACATTGAATGATTGTGGTATTGATGACGATGAACCATCATGTGATCAATATGTAGCTTTGATTGTTGCTCAACATCGAAATAAATTTGATTTTACTGCTCTTGATTCAGGTAAATCAAGTTTTTAAATTTAATTAATTAAAATGTTAATCTAAAATTTTCATTGACTAGCTCTTAAAAGTCTAGCTAAAAAAGCAAAAGAACTTAAAGCAACTGTTCATTTACCGCGTATCGGTGTTGGTTCTCAAGGTAAATATATTTGTAAATAAATAAAAGTTAATAAATTGTTTTTATAATAAGGTTTCAATTGGTATGGTACTGAGAAATTAATCAAAAAATATTTATCTTCTCGTGGTATTTCTACATATATTTACTATTTCAAACGTGAAAATCCTACAACAAATAATAAACGATCAAATGAACAATCATATGGAAATAATAAACGATTATCTATTGAAAGTATGATTTCTTTTTGATGATTTCAAGAAACATAAAACAAAAAAAAAAAATTTTATTTCAGAAGGCATAAATAATATAAATCGTTTAAAACTTCATATGCCTAGTTATCTATCTGGTATACACGTCTTTTTTCATGATATTGATGAGAATACAAAAAAAAGATTGCAACGTTTTGTTTATGCGTATGTATACAATTAAATCTTTAATTCCATGATGTATCATAAAATTTTCTATTCATATTCAGCTTTGATGGTGATATTGATGAAACAGCTGATGCTAATACAACAACACATATTTTAGCTGCAGGTAATTGTCAAGATATTCTTGCATTACAAGATGCTTGTCCAAATGCTCGTGTTATTAATATTGAATGGCTTGATGCATGTATCAGCAATGGAACAAGACTCAATACAGATATTTATGAACTGTGATATTTTATGTTGATACATTGGACTATAAAAACAAAGTTCTATTTTTGAGAAAAAACAAAGAAAGAAAACTATTATTTTTTGTATATATATATTGCTTTATTCTTGATTTTTTTCTGTATCGATTATTTTGTGGATATGTTTTTGATGGTAATGTTGAATCAATCACTGAGTTTTATAACTAATAAGAAATAGATTTGAGCACAGTGAGAAAATGAAAATTTAATAAACCAAGAATTTTTCATATTGTCAATGTCTAAGTTATTATGATCCGATTTTCACTATTATCATCTTCTTTTCTTAGTACTTTTATATGATTTGAACTTATATTTTATTATCCGCTGTTCTTATTGTAATACTATAGTTTTTACTTTTCCGGTTAATTCAACATAGACTGTAATTAGAATGATAGAAGAGTGATAAATATGTGAGAAGAAAACGAAAATGTATATACCAAGCAGTGAAAAGATAACGTTTTTTCCAAAACATCGAATTACAAAGCTGCCAATGTTCAATTGTTTCTTGTTCGTTGAACATTATATTAACTTTTACGATGTAGAGATCTTATTGTACTCTTAGAAGAAGACCATCATAAAGAAGTAACACTTGAAGAGGAGGGTCGTTGAGATAATAATATGTTTCTTGATTTCATTTGATAATGGTAGTAAAATGATTTCCAGTATTATTGAAATTCGTAGAAAGATTGTATCTAACCATATATTACTTGAGTATTATTTCAGAAAACAATTTAGAAAACTTATTCATATTTACTATTATTCAAAGAATCTGACAATTCTCTTATGAACAATGAGATCATTCTAAAATTGGTAACAATAAACGGTAAAATATATAACAATCATATTATATCTATTGTTTCTAATGCTTGACATATGTAGCGCGTTCTACAATTGAAAATTGTATCGAAAAGGAGATAGATGAAATAATGTTTTTCTCTAAGCGACCAGTATCATTTTCTGCATTGACCACTGAAAATTGTTCATTAACTATTGAATGAATTTGCTGAATAATGTAAAAATTCAATCGAAGCAAGATTCACACCATAGACAAATATTTGTTTAATGACGAAAACTGGTACGAAATAGGCCTTTGACTTTCTTATATAATGTCAAATACTCAAAAAAAAAGATAGAAGTACCAAGTGACAAAAACATTTCAGAAAGGAATAGATTTAATTGATAGTAAATAGTCGATGAAACAATAAAACGGATAAGATAGTAGATCTAATTGAAAACAAACAGTTCTATTTCTTTAACAGACTCTACATTTCCGTGAGAACACAAATTCAACTTTGAACAAATTGATTGAAAAAGCTTATGTTGTTTGAGTGAATTGAAATATTATATCATTCAAAATCTTCTTTTTTTCAGTCGTATCTGTTTTCTTTATCTTTTGCTCAAAAAAGGATTATTCAGAATAAGCCAATTTAGACGAACGACAGTCTATTTGCTGCTTAAACATGTTGAAGCATACGATGTGTCAGTCTCACAAAGAAAACGAGACTTGTCCGTACCAGCTTTGTCAGCACGAAATAGGATAAACAGATGTAAATTATGGACAACAAGTTAGTAACATTTGCATATATCATGTTTGATTTCATATCGAACTCATGGAAGCTTGTGTTTGTCTATTATTGTCATAGGATTTCCGTTTAAATGTAAAACTCTGTTTGTCAATTCAATTTGGTAGTAGAGATTTGACTCTTTTTTTCATGAAAGTGTTTTTGGTGTCGAACAATTAGTCTCGGATGCAAAGTGTTACCACTTTGGCAACAATACTCGAGAGAATCTGAGAATATTGTCAGAAAAGACAAAGTTGCTAATCTATCTTAGATTTGAAACATGTCACTGAACATTGCATCTTTCATCTGTTTTGTCATCAGTATCTAGCAGGCTGCTAATATTATGAGAAACTATTAATGTTGATAAAATAATCTTAAACAAATCTGAAGATATATGAGGGGTTCAATGAAAATTAATTAATAAAGAATAGGATGAGAAATAAAATGGTTCGGTGAATATGATTGCACATAACTAAAAATTATTCAACATTGATATCACACTTCTTTTCATTGATTAAATAATTTTCAAAGATTGGTCAATCAAATATTTCTGATAACTTTCACATATGCTCATATAAAAACCATTATGACTCTTGCCAAATGTACTAAAGAAAACAAAATGTGTAGAAAATGTCATATGTTAATGACATCAATTAACATAAAATGTTACTTATAACATACTACAAAAGAATAGAAACCTATATGATCTCATTGTTCCATGATCAATTTTGATAATTGATCCATCATAAAAACAGTGATGTATATAAAAATAACTTATTTTCTATATAATCTATTATCCATTTTTCTTCGAACTCTGGAAGCATCTATTGGATAGCTTGCCATAACTTACTATTAGTACCATGACATTCGATTGGAAATGAGATCACTGTTCTAATAACACTTATTGAGGTATGATATGCTGATACTATTCTAAGTCTTAATACGTGTTACTTTAGTTTGACTGATCTTTTTCGATAATATTACGTTAATATAATTTTTTAAATTAACCTTTTATTTCACTAAGGAAAGGCAATAGATATTGACATATACAAAATAAATCTCATCATATTTTCTCCAGGTTAAATTAAGAACTGTATTGTTTAAAACACTAATACCAACAAAACAACATCATTGAAATTATCATGTGATAATTTCTGAAACATTATAAAAGAAATCAATATTTAATCTATAATTATCATTAAGCTTGTCTGCAATTGCTTTCGATTGTCGTAATTGTCTCATGTCGTTCGTAAGTATTATTTGACCAGATTAGTTTTGCATATAGACGGGTACATTATGTCTTTATTTAGTAATAAAAAGTATTTTGTATAACAGAAAAAAAAAACATAGTTGATTCAGCACCTAAGTGAGATAATAAGATGTACGCCACATATACGATATAGTTTTTCTGTTTTAATAAAAATATTTTTTGTTTAATAAGTAGTATAAATAATTCATAATTTTCTCGATTAATAGATCTAAACCAGTTTTACAATAATATACATTTCCTCAAAGACTATCTCTTTAAAGGGTTTGATTAGCAACTTTTTAATTTAGGTAAGATAAATTTTCAATTCTTTTATTTTTATGATTGATATATTTATTTGAACTATCTTTGACAAATAATAGTATGCCTTTGTACTGAAGAACATATAAAAAAAAATAAAACCTTAGGTATCATTTTCCTTTCATCTCGAATCATCAAAATTATCACTTATATATATATATCATTTTGTCAATATCATAGATTTCGTAATTCTATCTAATTCAGTTATTTCTTCATCTGCTAAAAGTGTGGGAAAAGCTTTCGCTTTGATCCATTAATGTTGATAGTTTACATGATCATTTAACAAGGTGCTCAATCAAAGTATTTTGTTAGGTAACATACTAATAAGATTTTACTGAGGACGAACCAAAGATAAGAAACACAAATGCTATGTAAGAAAAATTGACACAGTACTACTTATCTCGTTTGTTATTTGGTGAGCTGATGTCATTTTTCAAATCAATGAACGGCAATTATAAATCTCACAGTGACCTTTTTTTTCATACTCAGCAGGATTTTTGTATGATAAACGAACTTTTCTTCTACAAACTTACATATCATAGCTCTCTTTATTATTAGATTCGTCAATATCCCACTTAACATTTTTATGTTATGATAATGTTTTCTTTAGACTAATGTTAAAGCAAAACTTGAAAGTACTCGATTGAAAATCAAATAAATCGAGAAGAGCATATCTTGACGACCTAGACCTTTCATCAATAATAGAACGACAGTACAAGTGGATACTGATCCATACAAAATTGAATGAAGCTTAATAATTCATCATGATCATAAAAGGTTTCATTTTTAAAAGAAAAGCTTGGATTGATAATCTATAAAATCAACTTTTTTATTTTTTTATGATTATATAGATTATTATTGAAATATTTCAATTAACAATGGTACAAGTCCACTGAAGTATCTTCGATTAGTTAGATATTAAAAAGTTGATGTTTGTATATTGTTCATAATTACAAAGTCACTATCTTTTTCTTTGTAATTCTTTTGAACATGTTTCCATCTGCTACATTTAATAGTCACAGATCACTAAGAAATGTTGCTTTTAACTTATTCAATTTTGAAAGGAATATCGTTGAGTCTAATAATAAGAAATGTTTTAGGGTAATAATCAAATACGAGAATTATTCAAACTGTACATTCAATATTTTCAACAAATAGTAACTAAACGTTTGCAATATATGTCTACATACATAAATACCAATTTCATTGAAGCAAGTAAGTATATTGATAATGAATAAAACGAAACTATACTTATTCACATATTTTATCACAGTTCTTTATAGGTAACGATACTATGGCTCCATCTTCGTTTACTTCAAAAGAACTATGTGAATGTGAAAATGAAGTAAGCAATGTATCCTTAGAGTAAGTATTAGTCATTCTGTTTCAAGTAAAAAAAAAATAAGACATTCTTTAATTGAAGGTAGCAATCCTCATAATCATATGACAGATAAACAAATATTACTTTCAATACAAACGAATGAACTTCATCGAACAGTATTAGTAACATTATCCTATGTTTTTTGTTCTTAAGTTCGAAGGATGTACTACTCATTAAAAAATAAAGCTTGTTTCCTGTATTATTTTCAATATTAATTTATCTAGCAGTAAACTATATCTGTAGCTTCAATACATAATATTTTATTTTAATTTACATCCCGTCAAAGATCTCCTTGTAAACTAACTCAAATGATTAGAAATACGAAGTCTTACACTACTAAAACTCCTTATTATGTATTAGAACTACTATTAGATCTGTCCTTGAAGAAAAATACTATCAATATAATCCATCGATCAAAGTAAATGAACATGAATTACAAACTAAAAGAAAAACGAGAAGCAAACAACTAGTATATTTCATGAAATTTAATACGAAATTGAAAGTATGGTAGATGATGAAAAAAAAACTCGATGCGATAAGTCTTCTTTTTTACGAAAAGCGACATCTAACAAAGCAAAACTAAAAACTTATAGAGGACATCATTCATCGAATATGATATATTCGTTCAATGATATATTCAACTTGTTCTGTCTCATCAATTCTCTTCATTTGCATCTATGTTTCTTGTTCTCATATCGAAAACAACTACTCGCCGATAGCTAGTCATCTTACAATCATATTCACTTCTTTAGTTCACGTTAACTGAACAAACAAGCAATCGTCTATGTATGCGTCTACCTTTTTCTCCTCCCTTTTCTTCTTTATTGCCTTGTTGCTATCGTCGAATTAGTCGTCGCATTAGAATGTTTGTGTGTGCGTATATACACAGTCTCGTTTGTCCTTTTTAGATCTCATTTTCGACTCGTCGTGTATATTATATTATCCGACGATGTCTTCAACAAATGGAACAAGTACATTACGAGTTAATGTTGCATTATCCGAACGTGATACAATTAAACTTATACTCGATTTTTTTCAACAACGTGAACTTTATATTAGTATGCTTGATATAGAACGTGAAACAGGTATGTTTTAAAAAGCAATTATCTTTTTTTTTCTTTTTTCTTCTTGTTTATATCTGATTTCATTGAAGTGACATTGTATCTGGTTTTTTTCTTCTTAATAATAGGCATTATTAATGGATCGTTTTCTGAAGATATACTTTTCTTACGGCAACTAATATTAGATGGTCAATGGGATGATGTTATTGATTTTGTTCAACCATTGAAAACAATTGATTCCTTTGATGCTAAACATTTTATTTATATTGTACTAAAATATCAATTTCTTGAATTATTATGTTTAAAAACAGAAGCACAAATTGAAAATGATTTATCTGTTGAACAAATTGTTAAGTAAGTTAAATTAATTAATGGTATTTCATTTGAATAATTAAAATAATTTTACTTGTTTTTTTTGTTTTTAAAGATTTCTTAATGATTTAAGACCATTTGCACCAAATGAACAAGAATATAAAAAATTATCATTTTTACTTACACTTAAACATTTACAAGATCATAATGATTATCGTAATTGGAATCCCAGTGCTGGACGTGTACAATGTTTTCAAGAAGTATTTCCACTTGTTCATCGATTTTTACAAGTAAGTTTCTTTCTTTTTTTTTTCTATTGAATATTTATTTAAAATTTTTCTTTTTTGTGTTTATTTATTTAATCCGTATATGTACGACAAGAGTGTAAATGACATATTGTTAATCCCTATGTGTTTTTTTTTTGTTTCTTAGGTGGATAAACAAACAATTCCTGTTGCACAAGGAGATCGTCTTATTCAATTACTTGTCAAAGGTTTACTTTATGAATCATGTGTTGAACATTGTCAAGCACGTGCCACGAATACAGATGAAACAATTGATTTAACTGATCCAAATAGTTTATTAGCAAATACACGTTTATCAGATACAGATGTTTCATTACTTTCATGGCTTCATGCATTACCAACAGAAACATTTTCATGTCCATTTGAACAAAAATCTTTAACATTAAATATTGATAAATTTCAAAAACCAATTCTTGAAGCAACATGGGCTGAACATGTATTAAGTACACCATTTAAACCACAAACAATGTTTCCATTTAATGCTACACCAACAGGAAAACCACGTTCAACTGAATTAATGTCACGTTCATTAGCACCACAATATGATGGTTTATCTTATGGTCTTATACGTTCACAAATTTTTGGTGATTATAATCGAAATTTTGTTAATGATATGAGTCGATCATTAGCTATATGTAATTTAAAAGATAATAGCAATAATAATATAAGTACAGTAACAACAACACCATTACCAACTGTTGAAGAAGTTCTTCATGAAGATACACCTTCATTATCAACACCACCACGTACATTATCACCAGCAGCAAATATTATTTCTCCACAAGCAACTCATCGAGCACAATCACCAAAACGTAGTGTTATTGGACCACAATTTACAAATACTAATGTAACATCAACATCAAATGATGCTATCGGACAACAATATATTTCATCAGCGAAATCGGCCGGTGAACCTAGTCATTTGAATAATAGCCATGCATATAAACAAACAAATGGTATAACAATAAATGAAAATGGTAATCGATCACCAAATAATAATCAAACAATATTACAGTAATTTATAGATCTTTTTTCTTTTTTTTTATTTCTAAAATCTTATTTTAGAAATACAAATAATCAACAAGCCGATGCATCAACTGATCGTTTACTTAAAGTAAATAAATATTGATTGTTTTCTTTCTTTAACAAATTTTAATGTTATAATTTTTTTTTTCTTATAAAAAAAAGGAATATCAAAAAAGTCGTGCAGAAATTATTCGACAATTTGATGAACAAGAAACTCGACGAAATGAATTACAAAAACAACTCAGTAATTATTTTCTTTTTATTTTCTTACTAACATTTTCAACTGATCAATCACTTTTGAATTCGAACACTGTGCACAAGATAGACTTCAATGAATTACGAGAAATACTTCAAAGGAAAATTCCCTTAGGTGTTCTGTCTAGAATCATAGATACCTTACTAGAATTTTAGCCTCTGGCATGATTTATACAAAACAAAGTGCATGATGATATTTTTCTCCGAGACAAATCTATTTGTCAGTAGAATGTTTTCTTCCCGAAATATTAAAGTCCTAAAAATCACTCATATTCCATGAAAAGATTTGTCAGTCAGCGAAATCTCAGATCAAAATACTATTAAAACGATATTCATCAAATCAATTCTATTTATTTTTAGCGTCATCATCTACTAATCCAAAGATTCGAGCGATTAATGATGTAACTAAATATGATTCACTTGAAGTATGTATACATATATTCTTTTTTGTTCTTAATATCACAAAAGAAACATATAACCTTCAATGTAGGATATTGCTCGTTCACCAGCATTTATCCCATTAGTATCTGTTGAAGACGTTCAAGCAATACGTGCTATTGATGTACATCCAAGTGGAAAATATTTTGCTGTTGGTTCAAATTCAAAAACGCTTCGTATTTGTGTATATCCTGATATAAAAAATATTCGTACAGATACTGTAACACAACCAGCAAAAGTTTTGTATAAAAAAGGCAAACATCATTTGGGTAGTATTTATTGTGTAGCATGGTCACCAAGTGGTCGAATTATTGCAACAGGATCAAATGATAAACTTATTAAACTTGTTCGACTTAATATGGATAGATTAGAAGATGAATCAAATCGTATGTAGTCATGATTGTTAGTTAAAAAAGCAAACTGACCTTTGTTTCTTTTTTTTTTTGTTTTGTTTTAGATTCAGAAATTGAATTAACATATCACAATGGAACTATTCGTGATGTTATTTTTATGCATGATAATTTAAAAGATGATTCAATCTTATTAAGTGGTGGCGCCGGAGATTGTAAAGTTTATGTTACAGATGTTAAAAAGCAAACACCTATTAAAAGTTATAGTGGTCATCAAGGTAAAAACATTTATCGAGTTTTTTTTTGCAAAAGATACAATCTAACCAGTGATTTACTCAGCGTAAGGGTGGTGACGTCTGTCTAAAGATCGGGTTGACTCTCCTGTTGAGTAAAATACTACATCTTATAGTAGTATAGAAATATATGGTTAGAAGTTGAGAGTTTTTTCGTTTGTATTGATTGGTAAAGACATGATCGATTGTAAGATTATTATTGAGTGTTGAAGGTTATAGCGAGAACGTTAAACCTTTTTTTTGTCTTTACATAGTCCATCAATCTATGAATAGAGAGTAGATGTCGATATTTCACCTTAACATATTAACGTAAATATATTTTCATCGAGGACAAAAGATATAGTATGGAGTGATATCTTATGAAATTCTTGTTCTACATTTTAATTCTGCAGAGCATTATACTAAAAACATATTATTTTATCGAATTGAATGACATTCATAGAGAATCATAGATAAAATCAGAGTAATGTTGATAGATGATAAAAAGCAGCTGATGACAACATCATAGTTGCTGATATATTATACGATTCGATTGTATGCCATCTAGACAAGATATGATTGATAAACTGAAATAGATCCTTGTTCTTGTCACTATTTATATAAACAGAAAACTACTATTGCTTTCTAGAAATCGAGTTTTCAATGATCTACAAATTTTGTTTTTTTTTTCGTATAAAATTTTGTCAAATATAATATTAATTATTTTAGGTCATATATATTCATTGTTTGCATGGGATGCATGTAGTTTTGTATCGGGTAGTCAAGATGGTACATCACGTTTATGGGATATTCGTCAACCAAATTGTGTTAATGTTATTGCACCACGTCCTTCAAGTATAAATAGATATTAAATTAAAATATTCACATGAATTTTATTTTTATATTTTTTTAGATAGTGCAGTTTCAGCAGTAGCTGTTGATAATTCTGGTCAATTATTAGCAGCTGGTTATGAAGATGCTTCATGTTTACTTTATGATCTACGTGGAAAACGTGTTGTACAAGTATATCAACCACATTCAAATGAAATTCGAAGTGTTCGTTTTTCTGTACATTCATATTATTTACTTACAGCTTCATATGATAAAAAAGTTGTTATGACAAGTTTAAGTGGTAAGAAAATACAAAAAAAGTTCAAATATTTTTTTTTTCTTGAATAATTTAATTTTAAAAGGTGATCTTACTAAACCATTGGTTTTATCAAGTGTTGCTGCACATACAGATAAGATTATTCAAGCTCGATGGTATGTTAAGTTTTTTCTCTTTGGATGTTTAGTATATTTGTTTTTTTTTTTCAATATTTTAGGCATCCAAATGAAATGTCATTTGCTACAACAAGTGCCGATCGTACATGTTTAGTTTGGGCCCCACCTCTTTCAGCTTTATCTACTCTTGCACAGTCACCATAAATAAAACAAACTAAACCTACCGAACAAAACTTGATGTTTTAATCTCATTTGCGTTTTTAGTTTTCTTTTCTTTTTCTTCTTGTTCTTGTAATTCTATATGAATAATAATTTGAACACAAAAAAAAAACAAATAAAGAAAGAACTTGGATCGCCTTTTGTTTGTTTGTCTGTCTGTCTATTTATATTTGATGAATTTTGCTGTTTGTTTTCTCATCTAGTATTAGTGTGGTTCCCCTTCAGAAGCAAAATTTTTTCGCTTTTTTTTTGTCTTTAAAAATAATGCGCAGATGTGCCGATAAAAATTTATTTCTTTTTATTCAATTGATGTATATTTTTTTTCTTTTTCGTTTGAAATAAAAATAAATCAATGATATAATAATGGTATTATTTCGTTTCGTTTCGTTTTTGTGTTTGTTGTTGCTATGCTTGGGATGATGATAATCGATCGAGTAAACGTAATTTTGTAAGAATTGATCGACTAAGATCAGTATTTAATTGCCAAAGATTTTCTTCAGTTGTTTGAATATCAAATTTTTTTTCATCAATTTGAATTTTTAATTTTTTCATACGATTTGAAAGAAATAAAGTACCAAATAGACAAGCTAAAGTTATTGATGTAAGAGTCAAATCTACCATAGATGGCATTATAGACAATGAGAAAAAAATAATAATCGCGCCTTTTGATAAAAAATACGTTCAATTGTTTTAGTTAAAAAAATATTTTACAAATGCTTTTGTTTAATAACAAATCAATTGTCTAATGTATGATGTCTATCATTGTATAGTTTAACAAGATGTTGTTTATAAATGAAATAAATTCATTCGTTTTTGTTTTAGATGCCGATCATATTTTATTATGATTTAATGTCACAACCCTCTCGGGCTTTGTATATTTTTCTTAAAATAACAGGCATTCCATTTGAATCGAAAGAAATTGCATTACGAAAACTTGAACAGATGACCGATGAATATGCTCAAATAAATCCATTTAAAAAAGTACCAGTTATACAAGATTCAGGATTTATTCTTACTGAAAGGTTAACAAAACAATAAAAAAGACAAAAAAAGATTATTCTCATGAAATTCTTCGTTTGTTTAGTGTGGCAATTTTCAATTATCTTTGTGATAAATACAAAATGCATGATTGGTATCCAACAGATTTAAAACAACGAGCACGTGTTAATGAATATACTCATTGGCACCATTTAAATTTACGTGCTACTGGATCAATGCTTTTTCGTGCAAAAGTAAAAAAGAAAATTTTTCACTTTATAAAATATAAAAAACAAAGTTTTCTTAAGGTTATTACACCTCGTATGACAAATAAGCCACCAAATGAACATGAATTAGAAAAATGGTTTCAACGATGGCAAGAATCAATAAATGATCTTGAATGTGTATGGTTAACTCGCTCATCTTATTTAGCTGGTGATCATTTAACAATTGCTGATTTACTTGGTAAATTATATTGATCAAAAATCAAATTAATGATATAATGATCTTTGTATATTTAGGTATTTGTGAACTAATGCAACCGATTGCTGCAGGTTATGATTTAGATAAAGAAAAATTTCCTCGTGTTCACAATTGGATGGAAAGAGTAAAAAATGAAACACAACCTTTTTTTGATCAAGCACATGCTATACCTATGCGTATGAGAAATGCAATGTTGGAAAAACAAAAATCCCAACTTTAAACCTATAAAAATCATAATCAAATGATTCTTTTTTTTTGTAACTTTTGTGATTTTATTCAGATTTTCGTTTTTTTTTTTGATTTTATGATGAAAGAGAATATTGATAGAAAAATACTGATTTTCATTTTAGTAATACTTGTTGAAAAAACCTCAAGACTCTTAAACTCAAAAAGCAAATAACTATATATATATATATCGAAGGATATGATTTACCAACGAATATGTTCTTTAGTTATAGAAAATATTTTACAATCAATAAATCTTGCTACGAAAAAGAAAGTGACATACAATAAAAATTTGAAAATTAAAAAGATATGACATTCGAGGTCAAAATATGATGATAGTCTAATTAATATAAACTTTGATAAAATAACAAAAAACTTTATTTATTTTCTAATTTTGAGATATGTAAAGAATTGAAGCAAATGGTTATATTCTATAATTAAAGCTTTCCAAACATTCTTCAATTGTACGAGTTGCTTTTGTATTCATTATTCGCAAAGCTTTTCTTTTTTGACACATCTCTTCTCGCGTTCGCCTTGTTTATGCGATAGAACGACGAGCGATGGACATAATTGCAATTTGATTTCTTCAATCGTTGTGTTTAGTAAGCATATATACAACACGGTATGCAAATGGGCTGCTATATGAGAGTGTTTATAGGGCCGATATTAGGAAGAAATATGTATATATATATGTATATACATATATTAATTGTTGCCAAACATATGTTACTATAACATATATAATATATTCTCAAAGAAAAAGAAGAAGAAAAAAAAAGTTTTTAACTTCTGATAATAAAAAAAAAATCAATAAATGATTGATGAATGGTTATTAACATTTGAAAAGATCGGATATTCTAATCATTTGCATAATTTGAATAATAGTCTCATAGGAAGATACCAAAAAGCATTTTGTCTTATTATTTTTTATCAACGGAAGAAATTTGGAACGAATAGAAATTCTCAGAGTCGTTAACCAATGAAAAATCGATCCGTTCTGTAAGTTTATATGAAGGAAAAAAAATGATATCCATTAAGAGAAAAAGGGAAAAAAAAGGTAAGACAGACCGATGAGAAAGAAAGAGAGAGAGAAAGAGAAAGAGAAAGAGCAAATCAAATTATCTATCGAAAAGCGATTCACACATATACAGACGGACACACATCATACACATCGTCAAAAGAGACGCGACGACAAGAAACACTTGATTAATTGTTCGAACGGAAATATAATCATAAATATATTTTTCTTTCTTCTCTCTTCTTGTCTAAGTATTAAAAACTAATAACACATTGCTTAAAGATAAAGAGACAATATTTAAGTATTTTATTTTGTGGTAAGTCAATATCATTATTTTAATAAAATAATAGATCTATTTAATTATCATAGTATGTTATTAACATCAAGTTGGTCATTACCATCATCTTCTATTGAAGATTCATCTTTATTGGATGATATAATGTTATCAACTGCAAGTACATCAAGTCAACATCAACCAAATTTTTGGTTTCCTGGTAGTCCACTTCCTTCATTTTTTTCTTCATCATCATCATCAACAACAGGAATACCAGATAAAATTTCTTATACACAACAGCCAACAACAAATAAAATTCTTTTTGATTCAAGTGCATGTAGTTCAAGTTCAGGAAGTTCACCACCTTTATCTAATGATTTTCTTCTTACACGTTCAAATCCAACACAATTATCAACATCATCAACAGGAACAACATTAAATTTAACACAATTTAATTATATTCAACAAAATCATCATCATCATCATCCATCTGTTGTAACATCAACATCAAATAATTTTCTTCCTCGTGATGATTGGTCACAAATACCAATGGCACAAACAACAACAACAACAACAACTTCGAACACCTCCGCATGGCATCCACAACATTCAACAAAAGGTAACAATTTTTCTAACTCATTTAAACCATCCTATTGTATATAGAGAAGAACTTGCTCAATACCTCATTCATAGGTATATACATATATACATATATATTCTCATTCATTCATCCATTCATTCTCTCTGCCTTAATGGTTATTCAATGATTGGAAGGATGATTTATAATATTTGTTGCCGGCGCATTACATTTGCACATTTCTCTTAATGTTATGATGCTCCTTCTTTCTCTCTCTCTCACTAGCTCGTTTTTTATGTAATACAGAAAGGCATTTGACAATAGACTTCCGTTTCTTTTCTTTTTGTTTCTTATGTTTTGCTAGAATATTAAAAAAAAGTCATACCATTATATTTTTTTATATTAAATGACATTTTAAGTTTGATCAAATAGGCAACATTTGTATGACTATGATCGGATCATTTCAGTCGATCGATCAACACCAGACGTTGCATGATTGAAAGCCAATTTGTCACACAACTTAAATTGGTCTGTTGTTTTTTAATCGTTTTTTAACCGCATCAACACATTCAATGGCACCAGCGGTAGAATTGCACGTGCTATGACTTCTTTCTTTCTTTTTTTCGTCTTCAATTTCTATATGTGTAAAGCAAAAGGGCGTGACGAGTATCTTTGCCATTGCTCAATTGATTTGTTATCACATGCACAAACCACCTTTTTCATTTCGCACCTTCTATAGGACATAGATTTTGACTTTTTTTTAATGACATTGATACACACACACATACATTTAATGAGCAGCAAATGACACCTTTGGCAAAGGGGGGGGGGGGGGGGGGGGGGGAAGAGAGGCAATAGAGAAGCAAAATATTTTTTTTTACGAAGATAAATCAATTGAGAGGAGATGTAATGAATCGAATCATCTTATGAGAAAAAAAACCGGATGCGCTAAGAGCAATAAAAGATACGAATGATATGGAGAAAAAGCCGCTTCCGTCGATAATGTCAATCATTGTCAATGGACCATTCAAAAACAAAACAGAAAAAATATAAACCCTCTTTAAATTTCATTGGAATTAAAACTATTTCAACAAAAAAAAAAAACGTTTTTTTGCATATCTTTATTGTTCACAAATATAAAAAAATTCGAATAATTGAAAATAGATGATCATTTTCTATTGACATATATCATTAGAAATCTATGACATCACTTTAATGTTAAGGTATAAACTAGGAAAAAGAAAAACGAAATTAAAAATGATATTGTACACAAGTAACCTATCATTAATAATAATATTTAAGTCAAGATTTCGTTCTACTATGATAATCTAATTGATAATTATACACATATGATGATCGATCGAAAAGTGATTTTGCCGCAATGCTTCGTGACATTGTCATCAAACGTTTCGAGACATATTCAAATGTGCACTCACACGAAAAAAAGATCAATATGAATACAATAAACGATGGCATCATCAAGGAGCTCGTCAAACTTTTCAATCATTTGTTTTGACTTTTTTTTTTTTTCTCAAGTGTGTTTATAATACACACACGCATACAAATGGTTATTAATAAGCCGTTAACTCTGATTGCTGTCTTTTATAAACAAATAATATCTCATGAAAGAAAATATCTATTTAGGTGTTCCTCTTGATAATTCTCAAGTAACAAATTATTCCAGTATGATGACTGGTAATGAATCAGCAAAAGATATGAAACGAAAAAGTAGTCGACCAACATTTACTGGACATCAAATATTTGCATTAGAAAAAATGTTTGAAAATACAAAATATTTAGCTGGAACAGAAAGATCACGACTTGCTTGTCAATTATCTATGAGTGAAGCACAAGTGAAAGTATGAATTCTTATCGATTTTTTTTTCTTCATAAATATTATAATGAATTTTATTTGTTTTTCTAGGTTTGGTTTCAAAATAGGTAAAGAATTTAATAAAAATAAACAAAATTTATTTAAATTGTCTCATTTGTTATTCTTTTAATAAATATTAAGACGTACAAAATGGCGAAAGAAACATGCTGCTGAAATTCATGGCCCATCCGGTAAACGAAATAAGCAACAAAGAAATGATGGATTAATTCCTCCGATTGAATCAGATTCAAATTCAACTTAAATCATTTATGGAAATTCCCCTGCTTTTTCTTTCTTTTAGTGTTTCAATTATTTGTGAAAAAAAAAGAAACTTATTATGTACATTTATTTCCGTTTGTTAAACATCATAATTTTGTTCAATGTTCTCTTTCTCGAAATTAAAATTGTTTTTTTCTTTTCTTTTTTTTTTCTTCTTTTGCTTCTTTGTAATGTATGCGTTTATCATCATCGCATGCATATAGTCATTAATATATTCTATTAGTGGAAATTCATATGAAAACAAAAACAAATGAATCATCGATTTTGTTTTTTTTGATTTTAACATGTAATATATTACTGACTAATTAAAAATAGCAATTTATTATCAAAAAAAAAAAAATTGAAAGACTTTTATGAAACAATAGTATATACATCAGCTTGATTCGTTGATATAGGATAATCAAAGATTGATAATTATGCATTATCTCTCTTAAACGGAGTTATTCAACGTAAGGATTTATTCTATGTCGAATTATAATTAACTCAAAATAACTTGTGGTGTGTCGAGGTCACCAAGATTGAGGAAGAAGGTGACTACTAAGAAGGTTGACTTCACGACATTAGGCAGATCGATCTTTACTGTAGAGACTGGTGAAGAAAAGACGACGGAAATCGTTTAATTTCACTGAGAGAAAAAGAACATATTTCAGGACTGGGTACTCACCACCATACAGTACAAGAACTTGCTGGATCCGAAACTTTTGAACCTGAACCTAACTGACCCTAATTAGGACATCCCTAAGAATAACAAAAGAATCAAAAATTGATTTCAATGTTTGTTGACATGTTGTTTTTTGATTACAAGAAAGGAAGTCTAATAAATTAAAATGTTTCATTTTTGTACAAGTTAATTACGTATCTAAATGATACTTTTGATTAAGTTTTTGTAAATGTTGTTACCTTATGAATTTGTTTAATAAATAAACTTTTAAAAATCTTAATCAATAGCTAAATTATAGGAAAAATCGAAGTTA